TTAATAATTTATCAAGTCAGGGCCATCTATTATTTATGCGTCTGCTTTGTAGAACGGAAAACTATCCTTCTCTAGTAGCAATAATTAGTCATTCGTACTCGTTATTGGTGCTTTATCTATTCAAAATGCGTTGCCAATACTCATTCTCAACCAAAGTTTTCGAAAAAAACTTTTGGTTTAGGCCTATCATCAGTATAATGCAGACATAGTAGCCACAAGATACAATGAGCCGACTAGAAATTGTAATCCATACACAATTTTCCATTATTCTGCATTTTTTTATCGAGCCTAATTGTATGCACAGAAGCATAAAGTGTCTCAACTCCAAATCGGCCGCAGTTGACGCCGCCATTTTATGGGGCTCCTACGCCTTGCACACCCTTTTGCAGGTGCAAACCCCACTCTCATTTGTGTAATGACTGCAGCCCATGAGTAGACAAGGTGACTTTTTACGTTTCATGTTTCCGTGAATGGCCGACGATACTTGCGTCTCGTTGTTTTTCTACGACCGTATATTCCAGTCTGAGTAGACTTCTACTTTGTGTTTTTCATGGTACATCAACGAAACCTGCTGACAGGTCGACCAATTTGGTTTGCACGCCGTGGAGCCTGGAGAGTCAGGACTCTCAACAATGCCACACATTTGCCTCCATCCTGGGCCATAATTTCACAAGCAACATCGGAAGTTGCCCACATGAACAAATCCAGTCCAGCGATCGAGTGGGTTGCGATAGTCACGATTTTGTCGCAGGTTGAGTGAATTGGTTTCGTCTTTTTCGTCGGCCATTACGCAGATCCAAAAGTTATTTGGTAGCATGTCTTTACTCTACCGCCATAAACTTGTCTGATGATTGTATGAGCAGTCGGATCTAGTGTTGTTCAGATGATCGGAAAGATCCTCTCATGTCCGACGATCAGCTTTTTTTGCCGACGAAAGAGCTGATATTTCTTTTTCTGTGGAGCATCAAAACGGCCAAAAAGAAGCTGTCACATCCATTTGCTATGCTTTTTGACTAACTTCACCTCCTGCATTTCTCATTTATGAGCTTAAATTCGGACTCTCTGCTAGAAGCTTTAGGCTGACCTCCATTTCGAGGGAAAGTTTAGATGATGAAGATATTCAAAAAGTGATCCAACCTGAGGTCTGAAGAGTCAGGAGTCTCAACAATGGCACACATTTGCTTTCATCCTCGGCCACAATTTCATAAGCAATATCGGAAGTCTTCCGCATGAACAAATCCAGTTCGTTTTCCTAACAGACGCTATCAGCAACATGAGTCTCTTCGCCTCACCGAGACCAAGTGTCAGGCCTCCTATTTAAGCAGTACCACAACAGAATGAGCAGACAAGTCGTTGAGCCCACCTTCATCTCCATGACGCGATGAACAGATGCGTCGCCCCCGGAAACGTTGGCTCATTCTTCGTGACGAGAACATTCTTGCTGAGACTGTTCCAGTGGCAGCTCCTTCATTCTGGTGGAAACGGACAAGACCTTCGTGGGTAACAGGATAGGCAGACATCATCAGGACAGACTGGCATACTTACAGCCAAACGGAAGCTAACAAGCTATGAAACTCACCCATTTCTGTAGATACCAAAAGAAACAGAGTCTTGATCAATCGCCTGAGATCACATACTTGGGGGACTTTCATTTCGTATGAAAGTGTATGAAGCAGAAGAGATTCGTAGGCCGATCTCACCAGAAGAGGACGGTTGAATCGCGTTGAACGGCAGCCGTTTGGCTTTTAGAAGAACTTCAGATCGACGCAGTCCACGAGATCTCCTCCTCATCAAAGCTGGGACTCATTCTGCCAAAGGTCTTACGTTTACACGAGGGCAAGAAGATTATCCAGCTCTGTCTTTCCTCTTATATAGACTCAATTAAGAAAAATAAAATAAAATAATTAAAAATATTGGTAGATATAGAGTGTTTAGCTTACTTCCATTTCGAGTGGAAGTGTTGGCTGAAGAGATTCAAAGGTCGATCTCACCAGAAAAGGACTGTTGAATTTCTTTGTACTGCAGCCGTTTGGCTTTTATACGACGTTCGGATCGACGCAGTCCATGAGATCTTCTCCAGTGAAAATGGGATCAGCTTTCGCTGATCATTTCTGTAAATGTCTCACTTTAACACGAGCGTAAGAAGACTATCCAGCTCTATCTTTCCTCTTAAATAGACTCAATTAAGCAAAATAAAATTAAAAATTAAAAACCTAGGTATATATAGAGTGTTGAGCTTACTTTCATTTCGAGTGTGTTGAAGTGTTGGTTGAAAATATTCGAAGGTCGGTTCCACCTGAAGGCGACGGCGGAGTCCTCCTGACCAGCTGTCGATTAGCTTTACTGAAACATTAATGCTGACGCTGTTTCCTTCCATTCCAGTAAAAAGGTGTTAAGCTTTCGTCCGTCATGTATCATCGTCACAACCAAATGCAAGCTAATGGTTCAATTAAACACACCGACAAATCCCTAAAAGGTGGTGTCTATACTCTACATCTGACCTCTTTGATCAAATATAAAGTCATTTGCTTAGTTAAGTTCATATGGTAACTTCGATGCCTGTGAGTGTGTCTGTCTCTTTATGTGTACATGCCTCGGAAACGGCGTCAGCATGAATGTTCCAGTAAAGCCAATCAACAGCTGGTCAAGAGGAATCCGCCGTCGTCTTCTGGTGGAATCGAACTTCGAATCTCTTCAAACAACACTTTCACTCCTCCTCATACGAGCTGGGATTCATTCTGGTAAATGTTTCACGTTTACACGAGGACAAGAAGACTATCCAGCTCTAACTTTCCTCTTAGATAGACTCAATTAAGCAAATGTATTCACCCTATTTCGTGTAAGGTGATGAAGGACTGGTAGTAGAATTTTCCCACAATGATATGA